GTACGAACTCCAGCATATTATGCTGGACCGGTATACTTTGCTAACTCCTGTAAAATTTGCGGGAGACTGGAGCACCAGTGCTCCAAACTCCAGTATATTATACTGGACAATTATACTTGCTGGAACTCCCGTAAAATTTACGGGAGTTCAAGCATACTTATGCTGGAACTCCCGTAAAATTTGCGGGCGTATTTTTCCGGATTTTGAACAGTGTTTTCGCTCAGATTTAAAGTGGCTAAATTTCGATGACTTTTGAAACTTGGCTATTTTTCAACGACCTGGTAAATCTGGCTATTTTTGAATTTCTCCCGTATATTCTTTGCTAATGATTGATGATGGTTACAAATGATTGGGGTCCCGGGAACCTTAAATATGATACATTTCTATTTACAGTAAAGAATCTTATTGGGATAACTGTCTAACCGTCTAGTACGGATTTGTACTAACTCGTACAAATTAATTAAATATATTCTGGAATTTACGCCATGATCTTGGGGATGTGGCTGGAATCTTGCTCTTTCTGCTACAAATTCGTAACGGCATCATCTTGGGGTTGGTCATACTTGACTCCGATGTTCCTCGAGCACTTAGATCTTCGAACCTCGTATTCTGCCTTCGAGCTCGAGATCGGTCTATATTGAACCTGTTCTCAATGCGACCTCTCGAGCCTACAAAATAGGGGCATATGATTTTGACCGTATACAAAGTTGATGGATGTAATTAGTTTTAGGAAGACACAGAAATATTTTATACTTTAGCAGTATAAAATGTGCTACAATGTGGTGAAATTTAAAAACGTATAGGATTGTGTTTTTATATTGACTTAGTGGGCATTTGGTCATAAGAATTGTAAAATTCAAAAAAAAAAAAAAGCGAAAATATTTTCAAGTTAAAATAGTACTTATTTGAAATTAGAGTTGTTTTTGGACATGAATACAATCTTGAAATAAAATTTGGAAATTTTATGGCCAAACATTGATTTCAAAAAAAAGTAAAATTTTTTTGAGAAAAAAGTGAAATAATTCGTATGTCCAAACGGGCTCTTAGTCTTTCCCTTCTAGTGCAGAGGTAACTTTTAATACTAAAATTATTATTACTAACAAGTTATTCTAATTAATATTTTTTTATTATGCGCATTATTTTGTTATTCCAGCATTATATATGCTTAAATACTTTTTATTTTTTTTAATTTATAAACAATATTTATTTATTCTATAGGTAAGTCCATAATATAAATTAAAAAGAAAAAAAATCATAATATTAAAAGTTTTAAAAAATAAATAAAAGAAGATATAATTTAGAGGGTATATAAAATAGGTATTTCGCAATCCAAAATTTGGAAAATATAGTTAAGTGACTTTTTGAGTGCAATAGGCATAGTTCAGTGACTTTGTTTTTACAAACAAAAGTAAAGTAACTTTAGGAGATAATTTGGGATAGTTGAGTGACCATTTGAGTAATGGACTCCAATGGAGGCATCTGGCAAGTTTGATAATTACAACTATTAACACTTTATTTCGTTGCTATCACTACTAAAAAGCAGGAAAAAAGCGACCAACGTTGGTCGCTAAATTGGAGAAAATAATTAAATAATTATTTTAAATACATTAGCGATCAAGGTTGGTCGCTTTTTGGTCGATAATGTGATCAAAATGTTGACCGTACTGGTCAGACTTGCTTGGTCAAAGAAATACTGAAATTAGCGACCAACTTTGGTTGCTAAAGTGGGACCCAGTTATAAAATTTTAATAATTATATTATTATTTAAAAAAATTATAAAATATAAATAAATATAATTTAAAATTAGCGACCAAAGTTGGTCGCTTACGAAAGGGGAAGCAGATAGAGACCAACTTTGGTCGCTAATCTGGGACCCAATTATAAAATTTTAATAATTATATTATTATTTAAAAAAATTTATAAAATATAAATAAATATAATTAAAATTAGCGACCAAAGTTGGTCGCTTACGAAAGGGGAAGCAGATAGAGACCAACTTTGGTCGCTAATCTGGGACCCAGTTCTAATGTTTAACAATTATATTATACTTTTAAATATTATATAAAATATAAATAAATTTGATTTAAATAATTTGATTTAAAAAAATTATCCATATATATATATATATATATATTAAATAATCAAAAACCCTTCTTCCTCCAGTACTCTATCAAAGTGAATTAGAATAAAAGAAAGCCAAATAAAAGGAGTCATCTAACTGTGACAAAAGACAAAATTTGCTGGGTTTTAAGGCATCCTAAAATTCTAAGCATGACGAACATTTGTTTTAACAACGGCCAAGCATAAATAGCTCACTGCAATTTAGGATTCGGATTCACTCCTACATATCTCAACGTCTCAGAGTGAG